ACTTCCATGTTGCCTGGATGCCCTTGATGCCCCCAGCCCAGGATTTGAGGTAAGCCTTTGGAAGGACTCCCTCCCTTGGGTGCCGGGCCAGGAAGGGGTTAGGAGAGGTGGGCATAGCAAAGGGGAAACTTGGGCTTGAGCAAACTGGACACTTTGGGGCAGGAAAGGAGAGAGAACAATTCCTGGAAGAAGAAAATAAGGCCCTCAGGGAGTTCTGTTTAGTGAGGGAGAGATCGTCTTGTTGTTATTGAGGTTAGTGATGCTAATGATCAGGCAAGGCTGGGCCAGCTGGGAGAGAGTCCCACGCAGCCTGTGCTCAGGGCAGCTTCGGGGGAGAACGCCGGGGCTCTCCAACTTGGCTGTAATTGGGAAGAGTAAAGTAAAGACCTCCCCCCCTCCCCCACCCCACCCCCTCCCATACCTTGTCAACTCCAGAAAAAGGTGAACCTTATCAAATCCACCTTGCTGCCCATTATTTTCCTCTAAAATTCGCCATTTTCGGGGGCTGGGCTTTCCCGGGAACGCTCTTCTGACAAGGGAGCAGTTGTCAAGCGGTCACGACCGCATCCCCATGAATCCTGCCTCTGACCCTGTAACTCTCCCTCTATCTGCAGCCTTTCCCAGCGTCTGCCTTGGGTGCTCCTGGATGCCTGATCCCAGGAGTCTCTGGCAGCTCAGAGGCCAAGAACACTAAGATGAAGGCATCTTCAGGTGCCCTTATCAACCTCTAAAGGGTTCCCAGACTCTTGTCCTCTCCTCAACTGTGGGAGCAACAGGCCATGGAGCGCTCCATGAACTGCTCTAAAGCCAGCCTCATTCCCAGGTCTTCCAAAACTACAGTTAGGCTCCTTAAAAGTAATAGGTCTTTCCCTCCTCTAACAGGAAAATTCAAGTTAGAAATCTCCAGCAGTGCAAGGTTCCTGCGGCTAAGTCAGAATTTTCCATAACAACAACAAAATTCACAATGATAAGAATTGAAGTTTGCACCAAAGGGCCACCCCAGCCCAAGTTTTAAAGAGGATACAATCCAGCAGGCTTGGACTGGAGCAGGGGTCTGTGAGGCGAGGATGTGCTAAGGAGGGGGTGGGGAACCCAACCTCTAACTAACAATTTCTCCAGCATAAAAATGAAACATCAAATTCGTTAGCCCAGGGCCTTCATTTTTCCCCTTCCACATTATAACTAGTTATTGAACTCGCTGGAAGATCTAAAGGCCATTTGCGAAGAGACAAATTTCAATGGAGTTTCCCCATCAATAACCCCATGGCAGTGACCTATTGGAACAAGTCAAACACCCGAGGTGAAATGCAGGTCACTCTGTCTAACCAATATTAAAATGCGGCCACTTTTTAAAAAGCCACTTTAAACGAGATTTGAGGAAAATTGAATTCCAAGGAAGGCAAAGCAAGGCGGGGGAAATCCACAAGAAGACCTTGCCTATGGTCTCCGAACAAACAAGAGAAATTCATCTTTAATATTTTAAAGGGGGACAAATTAACATTCCATGATTGCTTTTTTTTTTTTTTTGAGACTATAAGCGAATCCAGGAGGGGAAAAAAGGTTGAGTATTTTCTGGTGACATGTCCAGGTTATTAAAATCATTTTAGAACAATTCATTACTTTTACTGACAAGAGATTTAAGAAAAAAATCAATTAAGCATTTGCATATGCCTTTGCATACATTAGCCCTGCCTGCTGGCGTTGGAAAGGACAAACCCGCACAGAGAGACATCGACACAAATGGAGTAAGAGTCTTGCCTTAGTTTGGTAGTTTCAAGTTGCTTGGAGAAAAAAATAAAATTGAAATAAATTGCTTTATTGCATTCCATTTAAAAGTCAATTTATTTGAGGAAGAGGAAAGAGACATGTTGCAATTTTTAATCTCTAAAACAATAACAAAGCAGCACACGCGCGCGCGCACACACACAAAAACCCAGCACTTTGGAGAGTGGGGAAAGAAATGACCCTCATTTTCCTTTCCTTTGCTCTCCAAATCCTGAGTTGGTTCTCACATCTATTTTTCTCTCTAGGAAAATGTAGGGAGCCTGGGAGGTGAGATTTTAATGCAGCACAGAATCTGTGGAGCCGCTGAGGTCTCTCAGTCGGCAGCTTGTTACTGCGGAGGGGGAATATGGGTTATCCAACGGTCAGTATGGTAATCCGGGCACAATAAGGCCTCGCACACAATGGACACATATTTTTCTTCAGTGGTGTCAGAAGGGAAGCGCTTTGTACTGAAACATGTTTCCGAAAGAGAAACCAGATCGAGATTTAGAAAGGAGATGGGGTGGGGGGGTGGCATTCAGAGAGTGTTTGCATGTTGGCAAAGGGCGGTCAGAAAAAATAAAAATTAAAATTGGGGCAGAGAGAAGTAGAGGGCAGAGAGGAGGTGGAAAGCCTTGGACTGGCAAGGCAGGAGGCAAGAGGGGAAGCACAAAAGGAGAGGGGACCAGATACAAGGATTCATCACAACAAGCGTCACTTGGTGCCCCCCCCCACCACCTAAGCCAAGTGCCGGAGCCCTCCAAAGGGTTTTATTTCTGTGCTTGCAAAAATATCCAGGTGAAAATATTAGTGTGTGTGTGTGTGTGTGTGTGTGTGTGTGTGGTGGAGCATGGCTTGCTATTTTCCCCATGTGACAAGCGGCTTCCCTGCTATTAAGCTATAGGAGCCCAAAGAGAGTTTTTTGGGTAAATGATATAGATGAGCGTGGGCATATTAGGGGGATCTCCCAGATCTCACTTTCTGGATGTCTTGAATTAGCTGTGCTAACCCGGATGAGGACCTCCCATGTGTATGACTGCATAAGGAGGCATTTCATATATTGATAAATAGGAATGGTTTGCATGCAGATGTATTTGTTAGTTGTAATAACTAAAGACAGACTTGACATTTGGGTTGGAGGCATCTGACCTCTCCGCACCTATTTACGAGTGGGCTTGCTGTTCCTGAATCTTCCTCTCACCTGCAGCATCTCAGAGTCCTGGGGAGTGAGGGTTAGGGTGGGCAAAGCTTTGGGAAGATCTATCTATCGAGCCCAAGAAGGTAAAGAGCCAGAAGAAAAGGGCGTTGAGGCAGGGGTTGTACCGGTAGAAGGTGGCCATGAGGGCTGGGACGGGGAGAGCCAGGCCAAGACCTCACCTGCCCAGGTGGGAAGGAGAGTTTCTAGGCTAGGATGGGGTGGAGTGGCTTGATCCAGGTGCTGGCCTGGAAGTGAGGCTGGGGATTGGGGTGCACATGGAGGGCTCCCACCTCCTTCTTCACCCCTCTCCTTACCCTACCTGGGCACTCTGGAGCTTTGACTCACCCCACCTGGCAGTCCTTTTCCTTAGGTCAGCACTCAGCATTCAGGATCGGTTTCCCTCGGCCTCTTCTAGCAACTTGTAACTAACAACCCCCACTATCGAAAATGATGAAAAACAAAACCCTCACCCACTCCAGACCCCTGTCCACCAAGCAGCCACCGTGCCCTCCTCACCAGCCCCTCTCCCGACCAGACCAGCCAGTCCTCCCAGGCCAGCCGGGCAAGGACAGGGGTTCTCTCAGACAAGTTTGGAAATTTGGGGATCTCCTGTGAGATTTGGTTGACCTCCAGGGAATTCCTGTTCCCCCACCAGCCTGGGGGCAGGAGGGGCAGGACACTGTTCTCTGGGGGAGTGGGCATGGGGACAGCCCCTGCCCCTCAGCACCCACTCTGAGGCTGGGGTGAGGCTGGGGGGGGGGGCCTGAGTGCTGGAGCAGTGAGGGTGGCGAGGGCCCAGCCCACCCTTTCACTCCAGCCCTCAGGGCGAGCCCTGATTTAGAAGCCAGAGCCTCTGCGCAGCCCCAAGGTGGGGAGAGACAGGTTGAAAATCTCCCGCCTTCCTCTCCCTCTCGCAAGGGCTTTATTTTTTTTTTCGTTCCCCTCCTCATTCCCTTAATTGTAGATGTTCTAATTAAACCCTCAAATAGTTGTTATGCCGTTTTAAAAGGTACTTATTCAAGTGTCAACCAGGCTGGGCTGGGAGGAGGCAGCGTAGGGCGGCGAATTAAAGGTAGATTGACTAATCACGGCGGCGATCATAATAATAAAATCAGAGGGAAAAAAATCACATTACGACTTTTCGTGGAAAGGAGGGAGCAGGCAGCCAGCGGCCGCCAGCCCTGCGCCGCCGACACAAAGAGTGCGGGCGATTCCGCGAGACTGATTTATGACGTTTTACAGCCCTATAAAAGCTGTAGCGACGAGGCAAGCGCTCCTACCACCGCTGGCAGATTTAGTCTAATAAATAAAACATAAACAGTTAACTTTATGTGTCACTTTTATTGTTATCAAGTAAAATATAGCCGAGCCCCAGCAAGCTATGATTTTAAACTATAATTGTTATCAAGTACAACAAGGGGACCCGGCTCCCTCCCTGGGCTCTCCCTTCTGCCACCCCCCAACTCTGAGTTATGGAATCAGGTCGTTGGAATCGGTGGCCCGAGGTGGCCACCCCTCGCTGGGGAGAGGTGGGGAGGTAGCCCTTGCCTGCTCCTCCCCGCGCCGTGACCCTGCCACCCCTCCGAGAGGCCTTCTGTGGGTGGGTGGCGGAGAGGCTGGGGAGGGCACGGGAGTGGGCTGAAGAGCCCCCGAGCCCCCCCAGCCTCCCCAGTGGGGTGAGCTCACCCCTCAGTTTTTGGAAGGCAGCCTGGAGCTGGCGCTGGGGAGCGTGTGTTTACATGTAAACACATGTGTTACACGGATACAAGCCCTGCCTGCGAGCAGGCTCCCCCTCAGGCCTCCAGCCCCGGCCAGGGCTGCCCTCTGTGGGGGATGGAGGAAGCAGGACTCCCAGGGCCTTGGCTGGGCACCACGGCAGGGCACCGACCCCTCCTCGCCCCCAGCTCCTGGGGCGCCAGCAGCAGGCCGGTGCACGAGCCCCTGCCCTGGGGTTGGGGCCGGGAGGGCCAGTGGGCACCGGGGGGAGGGCACGATTTCTGAACTCTGCTTTTGCCAACCACTTCCTGTCTCTCTTCAGCGGGGGCTCAACCCCCAGACCTCCAGAAATGACGTCAGAATCATTTGCATCCCGCTGCCTCCACCTGCCCGGTCCAGCTGGGACCCAGCCTCGCCTGCCCCATGGCCAGAGGGTTGGGTGAGTGTGTCTGGGGATGGGGGCTGGACTCTGGCATCTTGGATGGGGAGGGGGCCCCCCCAGGCTCTCCAGCCTCCTGGGCTCAGCCTGGGCCCCTCCCCATTCAACCTCCACTCCAGTCCTGCTCCAACTTCCTCTTCCTGCGAAAGAGGGGAGCTGCCCGGGTGAGCTGCACACCGAGCCGGGCTGGCCTGACCGCAGGCCTCGGGCAAAGCCGAGGAGCCGAGGCCCACGGGCCTCCCTGGACGCCGCAGGGGAGAGCTGGGCAGAGGGGCTGCACCGCAGCCTTCCCAGAGCCCCCCAAAGCCCAGGCTTTGGAGGGAGGCTGGGGGCTCCCCATCTCCTCCTCTTGCAGGGGAGGGTTGTCAGCCGGCGGGGCGTCGGCCGAGGGCACCCCGGCCCCTACCGGCTCACCCCACATCACCGCCCCCCACCCCAGCACCACCACCACCACCACACACACAAAAAAATTGGATACATTTTGAATAAAGCGATTCGGTTCCTTATCCGGGGACTGGGTTGCTCCGTGTGATTGGCCGGCGCGGTCACATGGTGAAAGTAACTTTACAGGGTCGCTAGCTAGTAGGAGGGCTTTATGGAGCAGAAAAACGACAAAGCGAGAAAAATTATTTTCCACTCCAGAAATTAATGATCATGAGCTCGTATTTGATGGACTCTAACTACATCGATCCGAAATTTCCTCCATGCGAAGAATATTCGCAAAATAGCTACATCCCTGAGCACAGTCCGGAATATTACGGCCGGACCAGGGAATCGGGATTCCAGCATCACCACCAGGAGCTGTACCCACCACCGCCTCCGCGCCCTAGCTACCCCGAGCGCCAGTATAGCTGCACCAGCCTCCAGGGCCCGGGCGCCGCGCGAGGCCACGGGCCGGCCCAGGCGGGGCACCACCACCCCGAGAAATCGCAGCCGCTCTGCGAGCCGGCGCCCCTGCCAGGCGCCTCCGCGTCCCCGTCCCCAGCCCCGCCGGCCTGCAGCCAGCCGGCCCCCGACCACCCCTCCAGCGCCGCCAGCAAGCAGCCCATAGTCTACCCATGGATGAAAAAAATCCACGTTAGCACGGGTAGGCAACTTTGCTTTTTGCCCCCCCTCCCTCTCCCCGGCGCCCCCCACCCGCCCGCCCGGCCCCCTCTGGCCCGGTGCTCCTTTCCTCGGCCCCCCTCTCTCTCCAGGAGCGACTCTGGGTTAGCACAATTGAACTGGATTTACGAGCGAGAATGGGTAATTACATCCCCCATAAATTTTATGGCTTAGCTACTCTGGGCAGTCCGAGCCATGTGCTGCGATCTGTTATGTATGTGTGAAAACTATGCTCGCTTTCTAAGGGCGCATAAATAATTCAGTGTCGTTACAATGAGGATTCCCCTCTTATGCCACCACAAAGTCTCCGGCTTCCTGCAACTTCTTTAGCACCCATCGAGCTTGAGGACTTTATCTCCACCCCCCCCACCCCCAACCTCCTCCGGTGCCCCCCGAGCTGAGGATGGGGTGCGGGTGGGGGGCGGGGAGCTTGCTGCCTCTGAACCCCACTCTTTGCTTCTCCCCCCTCTCCCGCTTCCCCCCCTCCCAGTGAACCCCAATTATAACGGAGGGGAACCCAAGCGCTCGAGGACAGCCTACACCCGGCAGCAGGTCCTGGAATTGGAGAAAGAGTTTCATTACAACCGCTACCTGACTCGGAGGAGACGCATCGAGATCGCCCACTCGCTGTGCCTCTCTGAGAGGCAGATCAAAATCTGGTTCCAAAACCGGCGCATGAAATGGAAGAAGGACCACCGGCTCCCCAACACCAAAGTCAGGTCAGCGCCCCCGGCCGGCGCTGCGCCCAGCACCCTGTCGGCGGCCACGCCGGGCACTTCTGAGGACCCCTCCCAGAGCAGCACGCCGCCGGAGCCGCGGGCAGAGGACATCACCAGGTTATAAGACATAACTCACGCCCTGCCCCACCCCTGCCCGGTCCCCTCCTCACACACAAATTGACTCTTATTTATAGAATTTAATATATATATATTTTTGGTTCTTTTTCTCTCCTCCTGCCACCTTCTCCCTCGTCCATTCCAAACAGACAGAACAGATAAACAAACAAGCCCCCAGCCCTTGTCTCCCTTCCACGGTTAAGGCCCCTTGTGAGCATGTGATATTGTCTTAGCATGGTACCTGCTGGGTTTTTTTTAAAGGCCATTTTGGGGGGTTATTTATTTTTTAAGGAAAAAAAAAAGCTGTAAAAATTATATATTGCCAGGTGCGATGGTCTGGTTTGGGTGGATTTCAGGGGAAATGAGGAAAAGAAAAAAGGAAAGAGATTTTTAAGCCAATTCTCCTCCTCCTCCTATCCCCCCCACCCCTCCCTTTCCTTAGGCCGTTTGCATTGAAAATGCACCAGGGGAGGTTAGTGAGGGGAAGTCATTTTAAGGAGAACAAAGCTATGAAGTTCTTTTGTATTATTGTTGGGGGGGGCTGGGAGGCGCAGGGGGAAGACAGCAGACAAAGCTAAATGCATCTGGAGAGCCTCTCAGAGCTGTTGGTTTGGAGAGCCAAAAGAAAATAAAAATGAACTTTGAGTGCAGAGAGGCAGGCTATAGGTAGGACCCCACCCCCACCCCCGTCGTGGTTATTGTGTCTTTGGACTGAATTTACTTGATTATTGTAAAACTTGCAATAAAGAATTTTAGTGTCGATGTGAAATGCCCCGTGATCAATAATAAACCAGTGGATGTGAATTAGTTTTACGTCAATGTCTGATGGTTTCTTTTTATCCCCCCCTCTCCTCTGGCCTAGTGACATCCCACCTTTGCTATAGTTGCTTAAGTTTACTCTGAGCAAACACACCAGTCTGAACTCTCCACTCCAGTTTTCCAGTGACCTTAGAAGAACCAGCAAGGGATCTTCAGGAGAAGGATGTAGAAGCTTAGCGCTGGTTCCTGCTGTCTCTTCCCTCTGAGTGTGCAGAGAGGCCAGACTTTCTTGGGGAGAACCTATGGTAGAGCTGGGGGGGAGGTGACTCACTTTGCTCTAGTTTAGGTGTGATGCTGTGTTTTTATCTAGTTCTTTCTCCCCGCTTCTCCCTTCTCTCTGCTGGGTAGGCCTGCCTAATTTGCAGACCAGAAGGCAAGTTTAGGGAGTGGGCAGGAGAAGAGTTTTATCTTTTAGGGCTCTTTTGGGGTGAGAAATGAAGGAAGGTGTCCCCTCAAAGGCCTGTTCTCCTAAAAAGATAAAATATTTTGAACGGTGGTTCTGAGGCAGCAAAGTGACCTGTCAGGATGCTTCTCTGTTTGTTTAGACTGAGAAAGAAGGGTGAAGTGGAGGCCAGAGGCCTGGGAGGCCCCCTAGCCTGGGTAGGCCCGAAAGCCTGCGCCTGGAGAGAATGAAGAACTTTTATTCTTTTCCCCTAACTTTTAACATGGACCTTCCAGGTGAGAAGAGACATAGGGAGAGGCAGGGAGTACCCTCTTCGTATAATATTCCAGCACCCAGCGGGGCCTGGGGGACAGCATAAACAAGCTGCTCTGGCAATATAAAAAAAATACATTTTTTAATTATTCTGTCGGGGCTTAAATTTAAAAAATAAATAAATAAGAAAATATGGCCTGGGTTACCTGAAAGATTAATTTAAACCAAAGACTCTCAAATCCTTTTGCTATTTAAGGCCAGGCCCTGAGTAAGGCCTGCTCAAATTGTTGCTTGTTCCTTGGGAGAAAGTAGGAGAGGCGGGCAGTTGGTCAGTTTCTCACGCAATATACCCAAATTTCAGCAGGGAAGGTTGTCAGAAGTAGAAGAGAGGGAATAGGGAGCTGGGACTTGTAGGGGAGCCAGGGATACCCCTGTGTTCTCTCCCCAAATGTCTGTTGAAAGACAACAACAGAACCACGTTGTGGGAATCTGTTTGCTGTAATGTACTGTGAATTTATTTCCACTGGAATCACTGGCTGGCTGGTACTTAGAGGGGGTTGTGTGTGTGTGTGTGTGTGTGTGTTGGGGAGAATCATTTGATCCTGCAGGTCTACTTTCTCCTTGCTCAATGGTGCCCAGGAGACAAGAAAACATGCTGCCTAGAGTGTGAGGAAGCAGGCCAGCAATCACCGGAGTCACTTTATGTAATCTAGTGAGTTAGGGGCCAAACCTGACTGTAGCTCCTATCATCTTGAGACAATTGACTCAGGAAAAGGAGGGGGTGCCTAGTTGTGCTTAGGAAAAGAGGAGGAAAGTCTGAGGGGTGAACCAGGGTTTCTTGTCAAGCCTGTAAGGAAGCTAAAATGGAAGGGAAGGAGGATCAGTCCTCTCCTAAGTTTTTACTTTTAGTTTTAGGGGGCTTTATCCCTGCTGCTCCCCAAAGTGGAAGACATGAAAGCCAGCAAGGGGGAAATCACTGTATTTTAAGCGTCTCTCTGAACTTGCTGAAGGCTTTAGTTCAGGAAAAGCAGCAAAAAGGGGTTGGGACAGTCTTTTATTTCCCCTTCTTTAGGGGATTCTGTCTCTCCTTCCTCTTTGCACACACACACACACACACACACGTTCTCTGTGGGTGTCTCTGTCCCTCTTGGTCTGAAAAGGGGAAAGATCAGATAGCCAGAATTCTCGACGAATTAAACAATCCTAAACACTCATATGTGAGTTTTGGAAGGGCTGAGCCCTGACCTTCCCCCCAGCAGACCCCATCCCCTTCTTTCCCCCAAGCTCCCTTGCCTGGACCTGGCGGCTGGGACGGATCAGGCAGTGGGGGCGGCGTGGGGAGTGGGGGCCAACCCGGGACAGGCCTGGGCTCCTGCAGTCTTGGCTGTGCTGCTTCTGCTCCACCCGGGGCCACTCCAGCCTCCCTGGGAAGCTGAGGGCAGGCTTTATTGAAGTTGGGTTGAGCAGTGGGGAGAGGCTGGTGTGTGGGGGGGCGGGGAGGATGCAGCCCAGGTTCACGGGGAGGACACAGCATTTTCTCTCCCATCGCCTTTATATTCGGCAGCGCCTCTGACCTCTCCCCCACCCCCAGCGCGGACCCTCCCGAGCCAGCCCTGGCTCAGCCCCTGGTCTCCAGATAGGACACCACTGCTTTTGTGGGGCTGGGATTCCTCGCCCAGAGAAATGGAAGAGCCGAGGCGCAGGAATGCCTGCCAGGCATTGTAAGGCCCTCTCGCCAATGGCTAAGTAAAAAGAAGACGGGGTGGAAATGCAGCGCCAACCTTCCAGGTCCTTCTTCAAGCACCGGGAGAGCCCCACACCCAAAACCCCTTGCCGTGTAAGTAGTCAGTCCTCCATTTGCTCTGGGGATGAGGCGCCCGCACTTTCCCCTCCGTTCGCCATTCAGTTTTTGTCTCACCTCCCCATCTTGGGGAGGAAGCGGGGCGCTCATCACGAATGGAGGGGTTTTGCGTGAGAGAGCCTGGAAAGTTGAGGGGGAGGGAGGCCTGGGGTCTTCGATTTGCTCAGGGCCTCTTGCTGCTGCTTGTGTGAAGTTTCTTACAAAGTTTTCTCTGCAATTGGTGCATCAGCTTTTTTCATGTGTGGACTTGTGGATTGAAACCCAGAGCCCTCTCCCTGCGGGTAGATGCGTGTAGATGCGTGTAGATGTGTGTATTTGGGGAAGTGGCAGGGAAGACAGAACAATGACGGGGTTCTCGGAGCTTGGGGTTGGGATGTCCCCTGCTGGGCCTGTTTGTCTGCCTTTCTGTGATCAGGGGGGACTGATTCCTAAGGGAGCCGAGAAATCCAGGGTGCTGTGATGGGAGGAACATGGTGCTAGGACAATCCACCATCTTTCCCTGGCTCTTGCCACTCCTGGGGAGCAGGCATTGCCTTCACAGCCGCTGCTGGTGGTTTCTATCAGCCTTATCTGGCATCCCATCTTGGAAAGCTAATTGTAATTTAAAATAATCCCCTTTCCAGAGACCCTCCCCAGGCTTGATAAAAGAGACGGAGGAACCCCCAACTCCAACAGCCACCAGAGCAGAGGGAATATTTATTACCTCTCTGGAGATCATTACCCAAGAATACAATTTTATGAACTTCCTAATCTGTTAGCTTGATTTATCTGGATGGGCAGGGGACCAAAACAAACATTTGGGGGATTTGGGTGGGGAGGAGGCTTTGTCTTTCTCAGAGAACTGACCACCCCCTCGGGCCTGCTTGCTCTGCACACCTATTGCTAGCCCCATGCAACACTTTCTTCTGCAGCGTGTGGCTGTGTTGGGGTATCCGACTTTCAGCTGCCCCTTGGGAATTAAAAATGGCAGTGGACACTGTTTGAAGCTGGGGCCTGAAGGGGCCCTTCGGACACCTGAAAATCTGTGCAGCTCCAGATCCCTTTTGGAACTGGGGAACCAAGCAGACCTAAAAGCGACCCCAAGTTGTGTTCATTGCCCTCTAGCCCTGAGCCCTTTCTGGGGCCTGGCCCTGCCTCCTCTCCTCCTCGGGATTTGTCTTTTCTCTGGTGTTTGCTCTGCAGCTCCTTTGAGCGCTGGGTGGACCCACTTCATGCGAGCAGGGGTGAGGCCTGTGCAGCTCCATCTCCCGCTTCCCAGCTCCTGCAGGCCTGCTGGCTGATGGTCAGGAGACGCAGGAGCCGGGGTGGGGAGGGAGGGTTGCGGAATGTTTGAGGGTGCAAAGGGTTACAGAGTGTAATACATGGGAAGGGGAATTTAAAAATTCCAGTCCCCATCAGCAATGGCCAGATTCCCCGGATCGCGTGATCCTCTGGGTCTCTTCTGCCAGCCATTATGGAGCCAGGGTCAAGGCAAAAGAAACCTCAGCTCTCCTCGCTCCTTTCTGACCCTGTCTTGCCAACACCGGAGGTTGAGAGCCGGGAGTGTATTTGAACTTCCAGGTGGAGAAACACTGAAACCTTAAAAGTAACACGAAGGAGACACCACCCGAGCGGGGGTGGGAGCGAGTAGGAGCGAATGGGCGCTCAACGCAGCTGCCCTCATCTGGGGGTACCAGCTCCCCTTCTCGGGTTGCAGGGAGGTCTCCAGAAGGTGAAGGGGAGCCAGTGCTGGCAGTGAGGAGGTCAGAGATCCCAGATCGGAGGTGAGCCTGCCAGCGCCACCGGCTCCTCCTGAAGGTTCCAGTGTGAGGAGCTCCGGGCACGGTGCCCCCTCCAGTGGGTCACGACCCTGGGCTCAGGCCGCAGACAATAGGGCTGGGGCGGGACTGAGGGGTGCGTGGCCAGGCGGGTTGGGTTCATGGGGCGGTGAACTCCGCTGCCCCTCGGGAGTCCTGCTCGCTGGAGCCCCAGCTCCCTTTCCTTCCCCTGGTCCAGCTTCCTTTTTTTGTGTGTGGAAATTGAGCAGATTCTTAATAGCTCCTCCACCACCGCAAACCACAAAATGCGGAGATTTCATCTTGTTGAGAAAGGCAAGGAGAGTTGTCTCCAAGTTAGAAGAATAAGGCAGCGGGAACCCTCTCAGGATTTTTGCGGGGAAGGAGCGGGAGGCGGGATCCAGTTGTTAGTAGAAGCTTTTCCAAAGTGGACTCGGCCACTCTGAGGGATCCCAGACCATCAAGCCGGCAGTTTCCTCCATCAGGCCAATTCAGGCCAAGAAGTCCCTCCCCAGCACCACCCCCAGCCGCAGCAAAACCTGCCTCTCTAGGCCCTGCCTTTGTGTCTGTGCTAGGCCAGGGTGAGGGCTCAGATGTGCAGGAGGGGAAAGACATCCTCTAATCTGAGGGTAGGGACTGACTAGCCTTTGGGGGTTGGGAGTGAGTCACTTGGGAGATGTCCCCCAACCAGTTTGGTCTTGTT